CTCTCCCCCTGCCCCCTGCCCCCCTCCAAATCCTTCTCTGCTGGAGCAGACAGTGCAATCCAGCCCAGGGCTGGAAACCATGCTGGGATGCTGGAGAACAGTGATTTAAACTTAACTAGCAAGGGGCATGGGACAGAATCATACACCATTTTGACCAAATCAATTAAGTCTAATACTACATTCTACTAGGTTTATGTTAAACCAGTTTCAGCCATTTTGAAACTGGTTTATGTACATTGAACTGCTGTTCTATTGCAGGTTTCAACCAGTTTCTGATCACTTAAACAGATTTATCTGTAACTTCTGCCCCTAGCCCTAAAGCATAGCCTCTATTTAACATTAATAAAACTTAACCCCAGGAAATGTGAAAGAAAAAAAAGAAAGAAGAGCTTTTAGAATGTACACATTAGTATATGTTAATACACACCTAGAAACTAAAGTGATAACCAGGATTCTTTTATAAAGTCCTGGTAGTACACAAACATACGATAACATTGTCAGAAGTTGCTTACACACTTCACAGTTGAAGTGCTGCTGATATTAATGGCTATTTAGACTTTAAAAAGCTTCAGATACTTTCGAAAATGGGAACTGGATGTCCTGCAAGTTTTATGTACTGTGTCCACAAGCTTAGCTGTATTTATATTTCAAGAAATCATCTACCTGCACACATTGATAAATGCATCCTCAAAATCTTATAAATATACCCTCCTTCCCTTCTTATAGGCAGTCCCTCATTGCGTCCATGTCTATTTTGAATGGAAACCCTCTGAGGCAAGGAACATAGCTTTTTATTATTTGTCTGTAAATCTGGAAGAAATTAATTTTACTTACCACATAGCCATTGCTGGGGATAAAGCATATCTGTTGTTAAGTAAATCAGAATAGGTTCAAACCTACATGAATAGATTATTCATCAAGTGCCAAGAGCCTGAAATTTTTTTGTAGATGCATCTTAACAAGAGCACAATGAAAAACATAAAAGAAAGAAGAGTTTGTAAAAAATATATCTATTTATGAACAACAGCAAGATCAAGCCTCATAAATTCTGAACATGTACAAATCAACCTGATCAGATGATATAAGCAGTATGATGGGGAAAGACAGCTGATAAAATGATATAGCCATAAAATTTTAAAAGGTTAATTGAAAATGTAGCAGAAAATAATTTAAACTCACAAATACCTCTTTATGGTTCCTGGGAGGTCCAAACTAAATGGAATTTGACATGATGAACCTAAAGTATCATCCAAGGCCTTGCTTATTTCTTGAAGCTCTCTCAAACTTACAAAACCAAGGCAGGCAGGCAGTTCACAGTCCTGCAACTGAATAAGCCTATCTTGAGCTTCAATTTCTCTTCTTAATTGTTGATCCCTTGCTTCTAGCACAGTCAGCCTTGCTCTGAGGTCTTCAGTTTCTTTCTGAATAGAATTGAGACCAGAATTTATTGATTAACCTTATTAAAGAAAACAACTTTGCTGCTAACAAGATGCATGTAATATAAGTCCTAAACAAAAACCCACACATCAGGACGAGAGACATGCTTGGATGGGATGGGCTTCACCTTTCCCCCAAAGGTAAGTGTTCATTCTCTTCTAGGTTGGCGGATCTCCTCCAGCAGGCTTTAAGCTAGGCTTGTTGGGGGAAGGGGAAGATGAGGGCGGAGGAAGCCTTGGACCACTAAACCAAGCAGCACCCACAAGAACTGCCCAGCCTAGACTGACAACAAGCAGAACAAATACCCAGGTAAGCAAAAGGGGCCAGGGCAGTAGTGAGATGAGGGGGCTAGTGTACACATCTTCAGGAGCCTCAAATGCCTCTACACAAACTCATAGCATGGGGAACAAGCAGGAGGAATTTACCCCTCCTGCTATCTGACACCAACCCAGACATAGTGGGGCTCACAGAAACGTGGTGGGACCCAGCGCACAACTGGGTGGTTAATACCAAGGGCTATAGGCTGTACAGGAGGGACAGCACAGGAAGGAAAAGTGGGGGTATGGCGCTCTACATCAAGGAGGAATACACATCCTCATCAAGTAGCACAAGGTCAGAGGAGGGGCACACAGAAGTGCTCTGGCTTAGAATACAAGGCAGTCGAGGGGAAAGGGACTTAACAGTGGGGTCTACTACAGACCACCCAACCAAGGGAAAGAGCTAGACCGGGAATTCTTAAGTCAGCTCACAGAGGTAGTTAGGTCAAAGGACGTGGTCATCATGGGTGACCTGAACTTTCCAGACATCTGCTGGGAAGAGCAGTCAGCCAGGTCTGACCACTCACATAGGTTCCTAGCCAAAATACAGTACCTCCATCTAACCCAGGAGGTGCATAGCCCCACCAGGGGAGATGCCTTGTTGTGCTGGCCATGGGCGAAAACCGGGTGAGGGGGCTGTGCGTGCTTAACCACCTGGGCGACAGCAATCATCGCCTGCTGGAATTTACCATCCAGCACAAGGTGGCAAAGGCCTGCAGCAAGGCAACAGCCCTGGACTTCAGGAGGGCAGACTTCAACGAGGTAAGGAGAATAGTCGGGGAGGCACTGAGGTCCCAGAGGGGAG